GAATCTTCCCGGAGCCACACTAGCCCCCTAGCCCTGCACTGTGTTCATTCCCCCAGCCCAGGAATGTTCCCCAGCTCACTGTCAGTGTCTGTGTGGATAGCTTCCACAAAAAGAGCATCTCCAGCGTCTAGGCGCTCCTCCAGGCTGGCTCTGGTGTACTCTGGTCCAGCAGGGTCCAGGCCTGCGAGGACAGACTGATGTCAGGGCATCCTTTCCTCTCAGCCACAGGAATCTTCATGGACACACCACACACCTACCCTGGCAGTCCTTCCAGGTCAGAGTCCCTCAAAACAAGGACCCAAGGGTAGAGAACTAGCTCGAGACCCAGAAACGCCCACTCTATTGTCTCTAACCTCCCAATAACCCACATTTACTGGCTCTAAGATGAGCTTGATAATACCAACCATTCGGTAATGGTTAATATGAATAATATTAATCCTCATATAGTAATAACAATAGCTATAATTTTTTAAGCAAAAGTTTCTATGTGTCAAGCCTTATGCTGGGTCATTTTACACACTATAGTCCTCACAAAAACACTGAAGTAAATATTACTAACCCCATGTCTGAGTTTGGATCCCTTTCCCTCTTCCTCCCTAAAAGCAGACCCTGAGACAAGGATTTAAAATACAAGTAGCTTATTTTGGAGAAGATCACAGAAAACATAGTAAGGAAGTTGGAAAATGAGTTATAGAAGGAAGGGAATTTTTAATGAATGGATCATCACTTTGGGCACGTGGGTCCCATCTCGCTGGAGCTTCTCTGAGGAACTCTGTAAATCATGACTCAGAATTGTTCTGTTGGAGGGTATTTGCCACACAACTTTAGCCCCTTTTTGATTGAGAGTAGCTCTTGAAGCATAAAGCATATAGTATTTTTGCAAGTATTTAGCATACTGATTAAAGGTGATTTCCACAGTGGGCCAAGGAGATATGAGCTATTACAATCCAACTTACTGCTAACCTAAAAATGAAAGGCCTTTCAGAGTAAGAAACAGGTGAATGATCATGTGCCCAGCTAAAATCCAGCAGTTCTGGTGTTAAAGAAAAAAGAGGTAATAGATATTAAGGAAATTGTCATGCTCTGCATACTTTCCTTAAAGGATAAGAGAAATATTTTAGAGAGTTCCAGTCAAGTTGGCAGAGTGAGTAAACACTGTGCTTGCCTCCTTTCATAACTATATTAAAATTACAACTAAATGTAGAACAATCAACCTGGAGATCCCTCTGAAGACTACCTGAACAGAACTCCTATAACTAAGGATAGAAAGAAGAGGCCACATCAGTACTGGTAGAAGGGGTAGAGATGTGAAAAAAGCTGGCTGCACATCCATATGTGGCGCTGAAGTATGGAGAAGGATATCTTGCCTGAAGAGATCCTGCCAGAAGAGCCAGGGCTCCAATCCCATGCCGGGGCTTACCAGACCAGGGTTCCAGTGCTGGGAAGGGGATTTACACAAAATCTGGATGTAAAAATCAGCAGGGATTATGCCATCGAGTAAGACTGAAGGCTGACAGAAACCATTCAGAAATGAAGAATACATTAACTGAAATAAAAAATTCACTAGAAGGAATTGACAGCAGATTAGAGGAAGCAGAGAACTGAATCAATGATTTGGAAGATAAAGTAGCAGAAAATGCCCAACTGGAACAGTGAAAGAAAGAAAAAAAGAACCAAAAATATAAGGATAGTTTAAGGAGCCTCTAGGAAAACATCAAGAGTAACAACATTCACATTATAGGAGTACCAGAAGGAGAAGAGAGAAAGCAAGGAATTGAGAACCTATTTGAAAAATAATGACTGAAAAATTCACCCTGGTGAAAGAAATAGACAAGTCCAGGAAGCGCAGAATCCCAAACAAGATGAACCCAAACAGGCTCACAACAAGATACATCATAATTAAAATGCCAAAGGTTGATGACAAAGAGAAAATCCTAAAAGCAGAAAGAGAAAGGCAGCTAGTTACTTACAAGGGATCTCTCATAAGACTGTCAGCTGGTTTCTCAACAGAAACTGTACAGGCCAGAAGAGATTGGTATGAAATAGTCAAAGTGATAAAAAGCAAATACCTACAACCAAGATCACTCTACCTAGCAAGGCTATCAATTAAAATCGAAGGTGAGATAAAGAGCTTTCCAGGCAAAGAAAAAGCTAAATTTATTCACCATCAAGCCAATATTAAAAGAAATGTTAAAGAAACTTCTTTAAGAAGAAGAAGATAGGAAGAAAATCTCATAAATATGAATAATAACATGGCAAGAATTATGTATTTATTAATAATCATTTTAAATGTAAATGGATTAAATGCTCCAATCAAAAGACATAGAGTAGCTGAATGGATAAGAAAACAAGACCCACACATATGCTGTATACGAGAGACCCACTTCAGATCGAAAGACACACACACACAGACTGAAAGGAATGGAAAAAGATATTTCATGAAAATGGAATTTTTAAAAAAGCTGGGGTAGCAATACTCATATCAGACAAAATAAACTTTAAAACAAAAGCTATAGTAAGAGATAAAGAAGGATATTACATAATTAAATGGATCAATTGAAAAAGAAGACATAATTCTAGTAAACATTTATTTACCCTACATACGAACACCTACATATATAAAGCAAATATTGATTGACATAAAGGGAGAGATTTGACAGTAATACGATCATAGTAAGCAACTTTAACACCTCATTGACGTCAATGGACAGGTCTCCCAGACAGAAGATCAACAAGGAAATTGAAGCCTTAAATGACACACTAGATCAGATGGATTTGATTGATATTTTTAGTGCATTTCACCCCAAAGCAGCAGAATATGCATTTTTCTCAAGTGCACATGGAACATTTTTCAAAATAGAACACGTATTAGGCCACAAAACAAGTCTCAATAAAATTAAAAGACTGAAATTGTATCAAGTGTCTTCTACCACAGTGGTATGAAATTAGAAATCAATACAACAAAAAAACTGAAATATACACAAACACGTGAATAAATAACATGCTACTAAACAATGAATGAGTTTACAATGAGGTCAAGGAAGAAATCAAAAGATAATTTGAGACATAGGAAAATAAAATTACAATGACTCAAAAATCTATGGGACACAGCAAAAGCAGTCCTAAGAGGGAAATTCATAGCACTATGGACCTACCTCAAGAAACAAGAAAAATCTCAAATATACAATCTAACCTTACACTTAAATGAGCTAGAAAAAGAACAGCAAACAAAGTCCAAAGCGAATAGAAGAAAGGAAATAATAAAGATCAGAGCAGAAATAAATGAAATAGAGTCTAAGAAAAAAAAGAAAAAAATCAATGAAATCAAGAGCTGGTTCTTTGAAAGATAAACAATATGTATAAGCCTTTAACCAGACTCATCAAAAAAAGAGAGAGAGAGAGGACCCAAATAAATAAAATCATAAATGAAAGAGAAGTGACAACTGACTCCATAGAAATGTGAAGGATTATAAGAAAATATGAAGAAATGAATAAATTTCTAGAAGCATACAATTTTCCAAGACTGAATCAAGAAGAAACAGAAAATCTGAAATGACCAATTACTGCTAACAAAATCAATCAGTAATCAAAAACCTCCCCCAAAAAAGTCCTGGACTGGACAGTTTCATGAGTGAATTTACCAAACATTCAAAGAAAAATTAACATCTATTCTTCTTAAACTACTTTTAAAAATTCAAAAGAATGGAAGGCTCCCAAATTCATTTTATGAGGTCACATTTACCCTGATTCCAAAACCAGACAAACATTACAGAAAAAAAGTTATAGGCCAATATCCCTGATGAACATAGATGCAGAAATTCTCAACAAAATATTAGCAAACCAAAATCAGTAAGACATTAGAAAGATCGTACACCATGATCAAGTGAGATTTATTCCTGGGATGCAAGGTTGGTTCAATATACACAAATCATATAATGTGATACACCACATTAACAAATAGAAAGATAACAAATAAAAAGATAAAAATCATATGATCATATCAATAGATGCAGAAAAAGCGTTCGACAAAATCTAGCATCTATTTATAATAAAAAAAAACCTCTCAGCAAAGTAGGAATAGAGGGAATGTACCCTATAATAATAAAGGCCATATACGACAAACCCACAGCTAATATCATAGTCGACAGGACAAAGCTAAAGGCGTTTTTCTTAAAATCAGGAAAAAGGCAAGGATGTACACTTTTATTTAACATAGTGTCGGAAGTCCTAGCCAGTAAAGTAGCAGGATACAAAATTAATATTCAGAAATCAGTTGCACTTTTATGCACCAATGACAAACTATCAGAAAGAGAAATTGAGAAAACAATCCCATTTACAATTGCATCACAAACATTTAAAATAAAATACCTGAGAATAAATTTAACAAAGAAAATTAAAATCCTATACTTGGAACGTTATAAAACATTGAAGAAGATACAAATAAATGGAAGCATATATCATGTTCATGGACAGAAAGAATTAACATTGTTAAAATGTCCATACTACCCAAAGCAATCACAGATTCAATGCAATCCTTATCAAAATACCAACGGCATTTTTCACAGAGCTAGAACAAATAATCTTAAAATTTATATGGAACCATAAAAGACCCCGAATAGCCATGGCAATCTTGAAAAAGAAGAATGAAGTTGGAGGTATCACACTACCTGATATCAAACTATACTACAAGACTACAGTAATCAAACCAGTATGGTACTGACATAAAAACAGACACATAGATCAATGGAACAATATAGAGAGTCCAGAAATAAACCCGCACCTATTATGATCACTAATCTATGACAAAGGAGGCAAAAACCTACAATGGAGTAAAGATAGTCTATTCAATAAGTGGTGTTGGGAAAACTGGACCATATATAAGAATAAACTCAAAACGGATTAAAGACTTAAATGTAAGACCTGCAACCACAAAACTCCTAGAAGAAAACATAGGCAGTAAACTCTCTGACATTGCTCTTATTAATATTTTTGCTGCTATATCTCCCCGGGCAAGGAAAACAACAAAAAAACAATTGAAACTATATCAAACTAAAAAGTTTTCGCACAACAAAGGAAACTATAAACAAAATGAAAAGACAAACTACTAAATGGGAGAGGTGTTGGTGTGGATGTGGAGAAAAGGAAACTCCCGCACACTGTTGATAATATTGCAAGTTGGTACAGCCACTATGGAAAACAATTTGGAGTTTCCCTGAAAAATTAAAAATAGAACTACCTTATAGCCCACCAATCGCACTTCTGGGTATTTATCTGAAGAAAACCAAAACACTAACTCTAAAAGATATATGCACCCCTACGTTCACAGCAGCACTATTTACAATAGCCAATATACAGAAGCAACCTAAGTGCCCATCAATAGATGATTGGATAAAGAAGAGGTGGTACATATATACAATGGAATATTACTCAGCCATAAAAAATGAAATCTTACCATTTACAACAACACAGATGTATCTAGAGGGTATTATACTAAGTGAAATAAGTCAGAGAAAGACAAATACCATACGATTTCACTTACATGTGGATTCTAAAGAACAAAATAAACAAACAAAACGGAAAGAGAGTCATAGAACAGAGAACAAGCTGGTGATTGCCAGATGGGAGGGCTTTAAGGAGCTGGGTGAAAAAACTGAAGAGATTAAGAAATACAGATCAGTAGTTACAGAATAGTCATGGAGATGTAAAGTACAGCATAGAAAATATACTCAATAATACTGTAATAACTGTGCGTAGTGCTAGGTGGGTACTAGACTAATCTGGGGATCACTTCATATATTATATTAATGTCTAACCACTATGCTGTACACTTGAAACTAATACAAAATAATACCGAATGTCAACTCCAATTGAAAAATAAAAAATGTTTAAAAAGTGAGAGACAAGTGAGGTCAAAAAGACTGGCTAACTGAGAAACATTGATTTAGGCAGAAGCCCAAATAATGTTTAGGAGACAAAGGCAAGGGATATTTATGAGAAGAGGAAGGGTGACAATTACAATAGAAGGAAGATATTTCTATGGATGCAGATCAACTAACATAGTAATGGATATTACTTCTAAACAATGTTTTTAATAGTTTGGTATTCATCTGTGGGTAGTCATAATATCTGCTTTCTTGTTACCTTTGTAAACAGTTCTTTGGGACACAATGTTGCTTTAGGCCCAGTACAAATGTTGTTTTGCTGTGTTTTAACATTCTAAGGTTTGAGGCATAATATGTGCAAGGCGGTTCCTCTGTGATGGCAGTTCCCACTCCATTTTAAAGTGTCTTCCTTCCTTCCTTCCTTCCTTCCTTCCTTCCTTCCTTCCTTCCTTCCTTTTACATTATAGATATAAAAACTGAGGCTTACGAAGTAATACATGGCCTCTTACGCTAACATTAGCAATCATGCATACCATTTATGCAAAAGGGCCACAATAAATAAATTTTAGTGATCATAGATAACTCTATTACATAAACACCAAAAGTTCCACACTCCCCTCTACTTGCCTCAGCAAGAGCATTTCCAGGACATTGTCCTTCTAACTCTAAACCTGAGAAGATGGGCACAAAAGAATGTTACCTGTGATCCATCCCAACCGGCCTTTGTAGAAATGTCCCACCATGCCTCCAACATGGGCTCCCAGGCTAACACCAATGATGTGGATTGAAGACTCCGACACACCCAGCACCTACAAGGGGCATTTATAGTGAATTGCATTTGGGGCCCAGCAACCCTTAGCCTCACAGGCTCATACTTTCCCCTGCGGCTTTAGCAGAAGAGGGCCTGGGCATGAGATACCTGCTACACATACCTGGGGTGTGGGGGAGAGCAGGGCAGAATTTTCATCCCAGTATTCCCTTGCCTTCCTCCTGGGCTCCCCGCCTTGACAATTCCCTCATTTTCCCTTTGGTGCCCAGTGTGTGAGTCCTGAACGTGGCCATTCCCTCTGAGAGATGACTAAAGCGGGCCACTGGCACACTCTATCTGACATGCAGTGCACAGTTTACAGAGGAGGAGAGGGGAAGTTTAGAGGGGTTTCATAACCTTCTCAAAGTGGGCTATAAGCAGCAGAGCCGAGATTTGAACCAAAGACCAGCATGTCACTGGTGGCTCTGCTTCCACCCTAAAGCTCCTCCTCATGAGCTGCTTTTTTTTTTTTTTCCTTCCGACCCCTCTCCCCTCCATAAGCAACCAAAAATCACCCTAGGCTCTACTACACCTACCAAAAGTTTACTGAGGAAACGGGAGATCTCGAGTCCCAGCTTAATCACATTTTCCACGGCTGAGAAGTAGATACCTGTAGAGCCGTACACCCAGTCCACAGCAATCACATTGGCATCTGCTGACCGCAGAAGGGCCCCAATGAATTTCTCAATCCAGGAAGGCTTTGTTCCCAAAGCCCTAGACATGGGGCCAAGGAATGATAGGAAAATTAGCTGCCAAATCCATTTCCATTGTCATGGAAACCTCTGTTAACAGGATAAACCCATAAAAGAAAGTCAAAAGTAGGGAATTAAAATATATGGATAGTAAATCATGCAGCATTCCGAGCATAGGGAGGACATCATTCCAAAGTGACCAGGGCTTCTGCCTGCACACATGGAGCCTTTGAGTAAATTATAATAGGGTGCCTCGTGCCAGGGCTCAGAGCTGGGTTTGAGCTTCACCAGCCCTCAGTCAGGCACCTTTCTGTGGTGCATAAGTTGCACAAACCATATGCATTGACTGACCCTGCTTGTTATTCATGGGAGAGAAAAGATATCTTTGTGTATTAGAGTTAAGATTTGCAATCTTAATTCTCATTCTAGAATACAGACACTTTCCTTGAGGATGTTTTCATTTATTCCTTCATTTATTCACTCCTTCATTCATTCACCAAATGAGTCAGGCAGTATGCTAGGTGCTTTGTGAAAAATACAGAAAAGTAAGATATAGTCCCTATCTTTCTGGAACTTAACAGCATAATAGCACTATTCTAGAAAAAGGAGAATGATTTTTTTAAATTTCATAAAACTTCCCAAGTGATTGGGATCAGGAAAGAAGCTTTCTCAATGGCCTGCATTACAGGAACAAACAGAGCACGTTCATGGAGACAGAGGAGCACAGACTGGGCACGTGCCACGGAATGTGGCTTTGGGAGATCCAGGAGCACACTGAGTGACAAGCCTGATGAGCTCTCCAGCTATTCCCGGGTTGCAGGTACACACCCAGCCTTGGATAGCGGCAAAATGTAAGATTTGCTAGGGAAGAGACCTTGGCACAAGGCTGAGGAGAGATGCCTAAGGATGGATATGGCTGGGTCTCTAGAGTCTAGGAATTTCAGAAGCAGACAATCCAGAGATGAGGAAATGGTGATCTTTTGTGCAGTGCCTCTGTGTCTACCTTGTTATCGGGCACCCCAATTTTAGTTGTTCTCTAGTGCTATTGTTTCACCATATTCTTTCCCTCTTTCCTCCTTGCAACCTTTCTGTTTCTGGCCTTGTCAGTGGGCTTTGGAGAGAAGATATTGGAAGGAAGGATGGGGATTAAGTTGAGACTCAATGACTATATTTCACAACAAAATTTGGACCGTAGGGCATGAAAGAAATTGAAGAAGAGATGTGTCTATATCCTGAGAAACTCTAGCCTCTGGGTATGATGGAAGTAGCACCCATAAGTGGAGGTTTCTCAGGTCATGAAACCAGGAAAGAAGTGAAGAAGGAGGAGAAATAAAATTTTGTGACCCTCTGAGTGATTGTGCCAGGCCTATGACTCTTTAAATTAAATTTATTAGAGTGACATTGGTTAATAAAATTATATATGTTTCAAGTGTACAATTCAATAATATGTCTATGTATATTGTATAAAGTCTATGACTTCATTGGCTGAGATGAAGCATGCAACATCATGCTTCAGGGAGGAAAAGATCACTGAGACCATCTCTATTGCCTCCCTTTTATTCTAATGTGGAAACCAAGAATCCATGTGCTGGAGTGATTTTTCAGGATCACACATATTTAGTTTGCGAGTGCGTAGACAAGGACTGAGGGGAGGAGTAACATATATGACCAACAAGAATTAACAACATCATGTGTGTTCATGTTGATATGAGACACCTTCAAGGGCAGCAGGAGGTAAAGAATGGAACATGTGACAGTAAATCCATTCCTTCCCTTACTCTCCACTAACTTCCTATGGTTACTTTCTAGTTCTTAGTAGAAGTGATCCTACTCATTGGTTAGCTCCCACCTGAATCCATGGATAATTAGTTTGGTTCCCAAAGTGGCATTGAAACCAGAGTTTTGGATGTCACTGCTTTCTTCAACTAGCTTCCCACAGCTAGGATTTGAAGGGGTGAAGAGGAGAAACTGGACTTTGAGACTGGTGCCTCGGAGAAGACTGGCATTCTGGAAGTCGGTGCACTTCGGCTGTTGGGTAGGAGGTACATCTCCTGGAGAAAAAAAAAAAAAAGCAAAACAAGAAAGATCCAAGGTGAGGTCGTCTGTTTTCGGAAGGAAGAAAGGTGTTCTTGAAAAGAAGAAAGAAACAGGGGCTTATAGCCATTAAAATCAGCTAGTGCAATACTCAGACTCATTTGTCAAAAGCTGCATCACTTCTGAGACCAAAATCTATGAATATTTTTCATATCTAGAGATGAAATATCAAATAAAAATATGAATATTGCTTGACCGAAGAAGATTAAAGACCATGGTAAGACTGATATTGCTATGGGCTAAACTGAGCACCTCCACAAATCCATATGCCGATGTCCTAAACCCCAGGACCTCAGGATATGACCATATTTGGAGGAGATAGAGTCTTTACAGAGGTAATCACATTAAAACAAGGCCGTTAGATTGGTCTCTAATCCAACATGACTGGTGTTCTTATAAGAAGAGGAAATTTGGACACAGACATGGCAGAAAGATGATGTGAAGACACAGGGAGTAGATGGCCATGTACAACCAGCCAAGGAGAGGGGCCTGGAGCAGATTCCCCCACACAGCTCTCAGAAGGAACCAGTCCTACAACCCCCTTGATCTCAGACTTCTAGTCTCCAGAATGGTGCATCGATAAGCTTCTGTTGTTTAAGCTACCCATCTGGTCTGTGGCACCTTGTTATGGCAGCTCTCTAACAAAAACAAACAAACAAACAAACAAAAAAATCTCATATGTCTAAAAAGAACCTTGGGCAACAAAATGAGCAGTTGCACTGGTATTAGGCTCACTCTGATCTGAACCCCTGAGCCTAGCCTCACCACTTCTAGTCCTTACAAGCAAGCCAGAGCCACTCCAGAGCCTTTTGTGCCCAGCCCATGGCTGCCCAGCCAGATGTCAGAGAAGAAACTTAACAAGCTATACCTACTCTATAGCATCTCACAATAAATATCATTAAACAGGGTATTTTATGGTCAAGGTCATTGGAGGAACTTTTAAAATATTGAACCGAAAAAGGCAGTATGAAATGCCTATTTTCCAGAGAACTGACAATCTGGCCCATCTTCAGTACCCAATATCTTACCCCCATGTCCACTTTTCTGGTAAAGAGGTGTGGCATCTAGCTCCCAGCACGGCTTACAGGAAGGAACCAACAGGAGCAGCAGGCACATACTGACCCACAGCCCTAGTCATGGCGCTGTTAGCCGCTACCTTGCATTACTGTCCTGGGACAAAGCCATTTACAGAATCAGAGGAGAGGTCTAGACTGCAGGCTTAGATTTGTGCAGGCCCCTTCATGAAGAGCACAGCAATTTTAGTTTTCTGGAATGGTTATCTGCTTTAAGAGGTAACTGGGGAACACATGTACAAGAGGCACATGGATCTGGGATGCACTGGGATGTGGTACCATGAGTAGACTGTGGTTACCCCACCCTTAGAGAGTACTGAAGTGCACCAGCAATTTCACTACCACTACATTGGAGCCCCAGACCTGGTCCCAAGCCCCCATGCACATCCCTTCTAAACAGCTAGGTCTTGGACATCCTGGCATGAAGCCCACTCTGACAGTACACCCCTACACTCCTCAGCCTACAACCTTGGCCCCCCCACAGCACAGGAGAGAGAAAGATGTTTGACTCTATTACCTTGTCTGCCTTCCCCAGTCTCTGGCTTTTAAAAGAAAAGATGAGCTATTTCCGTAAGCAGCCTGAGGTGACCTCTGAAATGGTTTGCTATTCACTTGACCCAGAAAACTCCACAAAATTATGCAAATCAAGATGTTAAAATCTTCGTGTTCACTTTCATGAAATTGCCCAGGCCATCAAGGGTATGCATATCTGAAAAGCCGCCAAGTATCTGAAGATTGTCACTTTACAGAAGCAATTTGCACCATTCCCTCATTACAATGGTGGAGTTGGTAGGTGTGCCCAGGCCAAATGGTGGAGCTGGACGCAAGGTTGGTGGCCCCAAAACAGTGAATTTTTGCTGCACATGCTTAAAAATGCAGAGAGTGATGCTGAACTTAAGGGTTTAGATGTAGATCCTCTGGTCACTGAGCGCATCCAGGTGAACAAAGCTCCCAAGATGCAGCGCAGACTCACAGAACCCGTGGGCGGTTCAATCCCTTTGTGAGCTCTCCCTGCTGCACTGAGATGATCCTCATTGCATAAGAGAAGACTGTTCGTGAGTCAGAAGAGGAAGTTGCTCAGGAGACAAAGATACCCCAGAAAAAACTGAAGAAACAAAAACTTATGGCCTAGGAGTAAATTCGGCATCAAATAAATGCTAATAAAAGTAGAAAAAAAAGAAAAGAAAAGAAAAAATGAAAGGACTCTGTTTGAGAATGAGACTTGAAACACATAAATGAATAAATTTGGTCTGTTGGTGATACAGGGAAGCCTGCATCCATCAGACGGAGAATTAAGACTCCTTTTAAAATGAGCATTGTATGTCACAAAGTAAGGCTCAACGAACATCAAAGAATCAATGTCATCCATACATTATCTAAATAAAAAGTAATCAAATTATTTAAACATACATTTGGAGAGTTAAAAAACCCCTCGGGTTAAAAAATAATTACAATGGAGACTCAAGAATATTAAAAACTACATGACAATAAAACTAATATATATAAACACTTGAGTAAAGTAGCTAAAATAGCACTGGGAGGATGTGCATAACCTTAAATGCAAATATTAAGGGAATAAAGGGAGAGATATAGATTAGGTAAATTAATCTTGTTAACTCAGAAAGTTGAAAAAGCACAATGCAACAACTCCAAATAAAATAGAGAAGAAAAACTATAAAGAAAGTAGTCGAAAACAGAGTGGGGAGGTAAACGGGGTAAAAGGGATCAAATATGTGATAACAGAAAGAAATCTAACTATGGGAGGTGAACACACAAAGTAAATATATTTATGCCTTATTGTTAAAGTGTACAGCTGAAACTTATCAGATTTTGTTAACCAATGTCACCATAAAAAAATTAATTAATTTTCAAAAAATTGTAAAAATTTTTTTTTAAAAGAAAGAAAACAATAAAATATGAATGACATTGGTAGCAATGCAGTCAGTGCAGTTGCTCAGGCCAGTCTTCCTGGAGACCATTCTGACTCTTCCCTTTCTCTCACACCCCGCATACCAATGGTGAGTAAATCCTAATGACCCTCCTCTCAGAGCAAGATATTCAGAATTAAACCATTCTCACTACCTACAGTAGTCCCCCCTTATCCACAAGTGATATGTTCCAAGACCCCCGGTGGATGTCTGAAACTGTGGATAGTACAGAATCTAATATATGCTATGTTTTCTCCGGTACATACAAACCTATGAAAAATTTAATTTATAAATCAGGCACAGTAAGAAACTAACAACAATAACTAATAATAAAATAAAACAATTATGACAATATACTATAATAAAAGTTATGTGAATGTGATCTCTTTCTCAAAATCCTATTGTATAGTACTCGCTCTTCTTGTAATGTGAGATGATGTAATGTCTATGTGATGAAATAAAGTGAGGTACTCAGAACAGCACACAATTTGAAACTTATGAATTGTTTATTTATGAATTTTCCATTTAATACTTTCTCATCACCATTGACTGCAGGTAAATGAAACCATGGAAAGTGAAACTGGGATAATGTGGTACTACCACTCTACACTGTCACCTCCTTGGTCCAAGCCACCGTCATCTCAAAATTATTGCCATGGCCTACAACTACTCTTCCCGCCTTCTCTCTTGACCCGCTTCAGTCTATCTGCAACACAGCAGCCAGAATAGTAAGTCAAATCATATCTGCAAAAGCCTTGAGGCATTTCATTTAGAATAAAATCCAAAGTCCAAACAATAGACTAAATTTAGGGTTAAATGGAATAAATGATCCCCTCCTGGAGCCCTTTGTCAGTCCAGCTGCTGTTTCCTCTGTGTCCCCTCAGCTCTTCCTCACCCTAAACAAGTTCCCACCTTCGGTCTTTGCACTGGCTGTTTCTTCTGCCTGAAGTGTCTCTCCCCAGACATCTACATGGCTAATTCTTTCTCTTCCTTCAAGTCTTTACTTGTCAAATGTCATCTTCTCTCAACTTGCCTATACTCCTCATCCTAGTTCTCTCGATCTTCTTCGTCTTGATCTATTATTTTTTTATTGCAATCATCACCTTCTAATCTATTTAAAAAGTTATTAGTTTATTATTAAACTTCTTATATATTGCTTTCCATACATTAGAATACACTTTCAGAGAAGGCAGAAATTTTTATCTATTTTGTTTGCTACCTAGAATAGTACTTGCCACACACAATAAACACCAAAAGCTAGTTCTTAGAAAAGAATAATAAACTAGTTGTACTTTTGATATGAAAGAGTAAGAAAAAAAAGAAGGAAGTCACAAGTAAACAATATAGAGAATTAAAAGGGGACATATTTACAGTAGGCTTTTTAAATCATAAAAGAGAATGTGTATACCCACCCAAAAGTTAAAAATAGATATTTTCCTTAAAAAATAGATAATATCTTAGAAAAATAAAGCTTACTGAAACTTAGTCAAGAAAGAAAAAAATGAAAATAAAATGTAAAACTGTAGCATAAAGGAATTGAAACAGTGGTTTTAATGTATTCATCAAAAACTTTACCAGGCCAAACAGTTTTACAGAGACATTCTCCTAATCCTTCAAATCCTATCTTATACATACAGTTCCAGAAAATCTAGGGTTTTTATGTCTATGTTTAATAGTGAAATTGGCCTTTAGTTTTCTTTTCTCCTTTTGTCTTGCCCAGTTTTTATATTTTGGTTATATTTATAGAATGAGTTTTGATCCTCTCTTCCCCTTTTTATTTTCTGGAACGGTATTCAGAATCTATGGAAAAAAAGAAACAAACAAACTAAACTGAAAAGACTCACAGATACAGAGAACTAACTGGTGATTGCCAGAGGGGAGGAGGTTTAGGGGGCTGGGTGAAAAAGGTGAAGTATTGAAGAAATACAAAGTAGTAGTTACCAAACAGCCACAGGAATGTGGAGTCCAGCATAGGGAATATAGTCAATATTATTTTAATGGCTGAGTGTAGTGCTAGGTGGGTGCTGGGGTAATCAGGGGGTCACTTTATAAATTATATAAATGTCTAAACACCGAAACTAATATAAAATTAAATTAAATTAATTTTTTTTAAATAAACTATGATAAAGTTCAATACCTAGTACTCTTTAAAGTTAAGAAAGGGCATCTAGCAAAAGCCGATAGCAACAACTATACTTAGTAATGAAACATTAGACACATTTCATCTAGAACTAGGAACAAACTGTCTGCTATCACTACTTCTATTAAATATTGTACTGGAAGTCCTAGTCCTAGCCAGTGAAATAAGACAATAAAATGGGATAAAATTATAAAGTTTAAAAAGAAAAAAAATTAAATTTGTAAAGAAAAGGAGGAGAAAGAATTGCCACCATTTGCAGATGATAAAACTGTCTATCATTTAGGATATGGAACGTAGCACAAGAAATCATGCTCACATACTCCCTTACTCCAAACACCACTCGAACCAAAGAGTAATGTCAGATGAATGTTAAAAGAGAAAAATAGTCACAGACAATCTCAAATATAAAAATAATGTCTCCACGAACAAGAACAGAAATGGAAAATGGTGCTGGGTTCCAGGTCTGGGAGAAGGCGGTAGTTCTAAGAATTCAGCTCTGTGAGGTAAGTGGGATCCAAAAGTACCCCATGTCACGTGTGGAAGACCAGCACCAGGCCCACCTGTGGTGGCCAGTGGTGGAGAGGGACTCCCCAACTCAGGAAAGGAAGGGAAAATAAAAACAATACGAACAAAAAATGGCTATTGATTTTTTACCTGGGGTTGTAGCTTTATTTGGGGAGGCAGGATGAAAAGACAAGACCTCACTAATAGTTGCCGAAACACTCACCTGACTGGAGAAGATGGGGTGGGAGGGGAGTGATAAAGAGACAGATAGAGGCCAAAAACAAACTTTTCATTGAAAATTAAAACAAAACTAATTTATTGTATTAAGGGTCAAGATAATAGTTATCTTTAGGGTAGTAGTGATTAAGGGCAGATGCAGAGAATGAGTTTTAGGGCCCCCTGGAAGAGTTTAATTTGTTGATCTGAATGGTGGTTACACAGGTGAATTTACTCTGAAAATTCATTGATCTGTATATTAATAATCTGTGTATTTTTCTGTATGTGTGTTATACTTTAATAAAAAGTTTACTTTTTAAAAGCCTGCAAACAAAATGCTTAACCATGTAAAGAAATCAAATGTTTACAAAGATATTCAATAAAACCAGTAAGTGGATCATAAATTTATTCCAAGTAAAATATAATTTTAAAAATCCTTTGACATTGATTTTAAAAGAACTCTGCTGAGAATATTCAGAAATAAAAATACAGAGCATAAAGAAATTATGAAATAAAAATAGGCATAAATTATACCATAAGACATATAAGAAAAAGTTAATTAGAAAATTGGAAATAAAAAAAATCATTAAAAAAGAAATCAATACTATAATGTCTAGTACAGAGGTAAAAGAAATTCTTTAAATATAAAAGTTCAGTTAAAAAGTGCAAACAATAGACAGAGAGGCTCCAACATTTATCTAGTACTTATTCTCTATAGGAAGAAAATAGGAAAAGAAGTAATATTTTGAAAAGATAATTAATTGCTAAGAATATTTCATAACTAAAAAAATATGATACAATGCAATATAAATATGAATTGTTCACTTGAAACTTATTATATTTCATTAATCAATATCATCATAATAAAAATAAATAAATTTTAAAAAAGATATGAGTTCTCTAATCAAAAATTATACTCAGGGTAATAAGCGAGATAAAAAATAAGTAAATCTATACCAGGCAGATTATAGTATAACTGTAGAGCATTAAGGATAAAAAAATATACTTAAAAATTCCCTGATATATGCATTGGAAAACTTAAAAGAAATGAATAATTTTCTAGAAAAATATAATTACTGAAAGTGACTCAAGAAGAAATAAAAAAACCCAAATAAACCTTATAGCCTCAAAAATTTGACTTGGCCATCGAGAGTCTTTTCTGGCCCTAAAATACACGAGAGCCAGATGATTTTATTTAAGAACTCCACCAAACCTTTTAAGTACAGATAATCTTTATCTTATATAAGCTAGTTCAAATAATAGAAACTTATTTTCTAAGGTTATAATAATCTTGGTACCAAAACCAGACCAGGGCAATACAAGAAAGAAAATGATAGATAAATTTCCTTTATGAACGTATATGCAAAATAACAAATATAGAAATAAAAATATGCAACGATAAAAACAAATGTTGGCAAATCAAATCCAGCACTGTATAAAAAAATATATCGTAACCAAAAAATTTGTTCCTGGCAATTTTAGTCTGATTAGGCTAGCTCATAGGGTTTAGAAGAAAATATGAGAAATTATCTTCATAGGAAAATTGCTTAAACAAGACACCAGAAGCAGAAATGATCATAAGAAATAAGGATTAACAGAACAATGTAATATTACTTTTCCTATCAGATTGACAATACGAAAAATATTTTATATTACAAAGTGTTGGCAGAGAATGGGGAAATGGCAACCTTAACATACTAATAAATAGTTATAACTTCTTTGCAGGGGAATTTTTCCCACATCAATCAAAAATGTAGAAGATATAAATCCTTTCAGATCTAGTAGATAGTGTATAAACAGACATTAAAAAAACATGATAGCTCTGTATGTTGATACAGAAAGATGTTTCTTTCTCTCTCATACACACACACCACACACACATACATTATCTATATATATAACACATATATATATATATGGAGGTCATTTTATAAACACACACAAATAAATGATACATGAAGCTAGGTAGCACTTTTTAAAAACAACTCATTAATGCGAGTAGTGAATACACCCATGCAAACTGAACTTTGGAGCAGGGCAAGGGTGCTGAATGTAGCAGAATGAAGTGTTGCAAGGAAGATGTGAATCATGGACGCCCTCTTGGACGACGGGAAGAGCTGAAATGAATGGAAAGGTAGTACGAGCAGCTCCAAGCAGAAGGAATGACGCAGTCTGAAGCTGGGGAATGGGAATTAACTGTCTTGTGGAAATGAAAGCAAAGCGGTTTGCTGTTGGGACAGGGTGGTACCAACTGCGGGGGTCGGGGAGGAGTGGGGATTTTCACTAGTGAGATAATCTCAATGCCACATGAGAGTTTAGATTTGCTATATTAAGCAAGCGGAAGCGGTGGGTGGGGTTTCTTAATGGGAAAGGTAGAATGCAAATGGAATCTGAGCAGAAACTTGTTATTAGTGTCCTGCCAAGAGGAATGGTAAAACTTAAGTTGGGTCAGCAACATTAAAAAGAACGTCTAACAATCTCAATGACAAAATCATTGTTAGTTTGGAAATTTATATTTTAAAATTAAATATATCTTGGAACAGTGGATATTTATAGGATGAAAATGAATCACATTTTGGAATTAATCAAATTTTGTTTTCTTTTAAGTCATTCAGCTTGTTTGTTCAAGGAGAAAGTAAGTAACATGGGTTTTAGAAAAATGAATAAAACTACTAGGAGAAGTTCAATTTTTCTGACTTGAGAAAATGCTCTGATTATCATTATCCTCACTATGATCATGGGGCTGTTTCTCTTTTTTGTAGATTCATCTCAGGAAAGAGGGCTTTTAGGGGACCTTCCAAAGGTTAGCACTGCATAAGTAATGATTAAGAAAGAATTATTCCACCCAAGGCTCAAGATCCTGACTTACCCGCACTTTCGACACTAAGCGCCAAAAGGAGCCCCAACAACCAGAAGCATCTCTCCCAAAGGCTTGGGTGCATCGCTGAGCTGGCAGTCTCAGAGCTGGGGGGAAGCCGACTGCAATGCCAAAGAGATCACATATACCCACAGTCTCTCACAGCTTCGAACACCAAGCACTCACTTAGGTCTCACTAATCATTAACTGGCCTCATGACCTGTAAAAGAAAAAATAAACTCTCCCTATTTGTTTAACCTCCACAGTTGTTCAGTTCCTTCTCAATTAAAAATAAATACTCTTTTCATTTCTTTTTTCTCTTTTGTTTTTTGTTTTTTTTTTTTTTTAAAGCAGGGGCGTTGAAACACATTGTCCTTCCTCTCTGAGCCAAACATCATCAGGAAACTATTTCCTGTACCGCTCCCACTTCCCATTATAAAATGTTAGTAAAAACCAAGGCAGAAGTCTTTCATCTTTAAGTAATTACAAAACCCTGGATGATATGTAGACTCTGAGTGATCTGGGGCAAAGACTTTCTCTTTTCATTTTTGAATCTCCAGTGCCTAGCACAGAGCTGAGCCAATAATACACGTTTAGTGTACACTTAATGGACAGAATGGAAGAAGACGAAGGTTGCCTCTGGAGAGTACTAGCCTTTCATAGGATCCTGAGGATAGAAGTGAAGTCCACCCTCTGAGAAGAATTGTTCAACTTCTTGAATTCACAAATAAAGAAACTGAATAGTACAGAAAGAAAATGACCTATAGAGACATTGTTGCTAGAAGTGGCAGAGCTGGCCTGGAACCAGGACATTTCGAACGTACCTTGTGGCTTCTTCACCCAAAAGAGTGGCAGAAACCACAGAGAGCTACTTCTAGGCAGGTCTGGAGGATAGGGTACTTGCTTAGCTCCTTAAACTGTAACACATCACTATGAAGCAGAGAACCTGCCAGCAGGGCCGGTATCAAACTTTCTGGGCAATAGCTCTATAAAGTGAGTACTATCTGCGTACCTGTTTCACACAGCTTTAGGGCACAGAGAAGTTAAGTAACCTGCACAAGATCATGCGGAGTTGAGATCTGAAGCTAGAAAAGCTAGCCCCAGAGGCCATGCTCTGAACCACTGAACCAGACAGCTACCACTGCTGAAGAGGCATCGGTACCATGCCAACATGGATGTGTCTGGTCTGTCAAAGACAAGGATAGAATGATTTTGAAAAGGCCAGCTCTTGTTTCCCTTCCGCTCGTGCATATGATTCCACTGATTAAGCACTGCTGCCATCAGGAAGGAACATGGCAATAAATAGGGCAATACCGAAGGCTGTTCTCATGTCAGAGACCAAGCAGGTGCATTAGTTCAGGTCCTCAGAGAAGAAGATACCAAGGTGGGACAAGATGTGCAAAAGAATGATTGGGGATAGCACTTGCGAAGAATAAGGGAAGCTAGAGAAGGCAGGGAGAACATTTAGATCGTGATACAGACCTAACATCTGTGAAGGAGAGAAGGAAAGAAAGAAAATTACACAGAAAGAGTCTTCATTTGTCCCAGCCCCACCCTGCTTAGTCATATGCTGTGATAAGTCTCAGCACAAAGACCCATGGAAAATACAGAAGGACAGCAACTGGGACCATCGAACAGGTTTCCCACAGCAGGAGACTGAGGGCTGTGTTTTCATGGCTACTCACACCAAGACCAGAGCTCATATACCAAGCCAGTCCAGTTATTCCTTGCACACAGCATTAATATAGGTGACATTTTGAGAGTACTTTCCCTTTCACATTCATCATCTAGTGCAGTACTCTCCAAGTGGGGTCCCATCCAGGATTACCTGCCTCAGAATCATCCAGGGAACATGGGACAAGTTGCTGGGCCCAACCTAGACACACTGAATGAGAATCTTCAGGGTTGGGCCCAAGACTCTGCAGTTCCAGTGGGGGCCTCAGAGGATTGTATGCATACTAGAATCACAAGTCTTTTGTTAATTCTTACCATAGCCTTCTCCATTTCACTTGTGAGAAAACCAAAGCTCAGAGAAGCCAGTGGCCTGGGGAGCACTGTTTGAAGGGCCAAGGAAATGAGATGACATGTTTTAGAAGGTGAGGATAGAGAACTTCAGAGCAGCAAAATTCTGGTCTGGATTCCTCACCCCCAGCACCTAGCACAGTGCCTGCCACATAGCTAGTGCTCAATAAGTATTTGCTAGGAGAAGTCATGGTACATCCAGTCTCCTAGACTCAGGACTGGTGTAGAATAACAGGCAACAGAAAGCCCATCTCACCCCAAAATATTGCCTCCACTAGAGCAGTCTCCAGTGGAAACCATCCTGCTGGAGATTCATTTGTTTGCTCAAAAACAGAAAGCCCATCTCACCCCAAAATATTGCCTCCGCTAGAGCAGTCTCATCCTGCTGGAGGTTCATTTGTTTGTTCAAGGTCATGTTTCCCAATTTCATTCATTCAGGTTCCACCTTCCCTACTCCTGCCATAGCCACCTACCACTTGTGCTAATCTGTATTTCAAGTTTTCATTTATGTAACTTCCATCTACTGACATTGACAATGGGGGATGGTTGTCCATATACCATCCAAAACGATGGGAAACACTGGTTTGAAGCATGGTCCACTACTTAAAGTGCAAACTTCTATTTACAACTCTGTAGATCAAAAGAAACAAAAGGGTTCTTACTTTGATTTTGTCCCCCATCTCCAGACAACCTCATTTTAGAATCATGTTCTTTTGGATGTTATAGTTGAAAGTTCATAGGTTCCAAACCCAGAGACCCTGAGAGGGGGTACTTTTCTGAGACCACCCAGCTAGTACAGATGACAATACCAAGGCTTAAAAGGTGAAGTAGGAACCTTAAGTGCGACAGGCATAACCAAACACAGAGTGGAGAGAGAAGTCCTCATGACTCAGGCATTGCGTGGGTCTCTTTGGTAGCAGAGGACGAGGAGGCTCTTTGAAGAGGGAAGAGAGGAGAGGGAAGATACTGTCCATTTCGGTTTTACCTGAGCTCCGCTCTGCCCCCTCCCCACCCTTGCCCCAAATGTGGATTTCAAACCCACAACTAGTTTTCCTCTTGCCTTTATCTCTTAACTGTGAAAAGGTGAAGAGAGGGCATAGGCTGCCGCCCTCACTCCTGGGTTTCATTTTGGCTTTGTCTAAGGAAATAATTTCTAATTATAGCTAAGAATTACAGTGTAGTAAAGGGTGTGCAAAGAAAAAAGGCTTTGAAGGTAAACAGTTCTGGGTTTAAACCTCAGTTCCATCTCATCCTAAATGAGTGACATTGGACAAATGGCGGCTTCTCTAAGCCTAATTTCTTCCTCTGTAATGGGCTGTGGTGAGCTGCCTGACACATAGCAATTCCTTCTTCCTCCTCTTCTTTTTCCTTCCCCAAATGGAGTCTCGCCTATTCCCTAGATGTTACTTTTCCTAATCCCCAAACTCCAAAGATGAAAAAGTGATGGCAAGGCTGTCCCCCACGCTTTGTCTGAATGATCCCTGGATCTTTAACCAGACCCCAGCAGCCATTCCCTGAGGAGTTAACCCAGTAGGCTGGTTGACTGAGAAACATCAGAGTCTCCATTTCTTCCCCCACACTCCTAGTAGCTCTGTCTGTTTAAAAAAAAAAAAGTTTACTTGCCCTGGAAAGATAGAGAAAGAAGAATAAATAGAGAATGTGGTGGCTGAAGCTTGGAGAAGAGTGGATGAGGCCAATGTTAATTTTGCAGATCTTAAAAATATATATATGTTGCCAAGACTTCCAGACATCTAGTTATCTTAGGTAACAACAAAAAAAAGCAAATAAAGAACCATCACACGGCAAGTGAAAAAAATATAATTCACCTCTGTAATGTTACACATGATCTAATCTGTTTTTCAGTTTACATATATTAACTTAATAAACATGACAAATTCACACTGGGTATCAGATCAGTTTTATTCATTTCTGTGACACTGTGCATATAACTGTTTATTATCGCTTTCCCTGTTCCCTCTCACTCTCCCTCCTTCTCTTTCCTTTGCTCCAACCCTCCCTTCCTCCCCACCTCACATACACGCACATACACAACACAGACACACTAGCACTCATAGTCAGAAGAGAAGCCAGAGGTCATGAACCCAAATGCAGGTAGGTGCGTAGAAGTGAAGAGTGTGCAACTGTTCTCTTCCAGTTGCTTCTATTTTCTCAGAGAAATAGGAAGTGAGGTCACCAGTTGAGCTTGGGCAAGAAGTTTTGAGGTTTGAAAAAATAGAGTCTGAAAGTCTAAACTCTTTTTGAAGTATGCCTGTGATGAAGAGTGAGAATCTGCAAAGCAAATATAATAGAATCTGTAAAGAGTCTTTCTCTGTCATTTCCAATTGTGGCTAAAGTTCTACACCATAAAACAGCAAATGTGAAGTCTCCATCCTCCTGCCTCCTCCCACCACTGGAAGAACTTGGAAAGACAAATCTTGGTAGGACTTACTAGGAGGTAGGAGAACTGCTTTGTGATCAGATCTCCCACCCCCACCTCCACCAGCTGAAAACCAGGGATTTGAAGGAAAAATCAGGAGTCATAGTTCCGTGGTGGGGTTTTCTCTTCTCTTCCTGAATGAGGAGGGAGGGTCCTGTTCTCTCTTCCTCACCTCTCACAACAAGCCAAATGAGGGAAGGCCTACCAGCTGAGATTGAGGGGAACCACATAAAGGTGACACTAGAATCTGTTTCCAAGTTAGCTGGCTGCTGGTCAGCCTGGTCTGCCCTCAGGGCCTGTGTGAGAGGGATGGGGAGGATGTAAAGACTGCAGCAGGTGGAGCATCCTGCACGCCCCCTGATGGATGGGACCAGGGAGGATGATGGATCCCTCAGAAGACAACTGGCTTTAGCCTTTCCCACCAGGGTTCCACCCATGAGGCTGGTCTCAGGGCAATAGTGGAGAGGAGGAAGGAACCCCAGGAGGAGGAGAGGAACGAAAGAGCCGTCCCTATCCCCATTTCTCTTTTAAGTCTCTCGGGCCGAGGACTGACTACAGTGGGAAGGAAGAAGAGCATGATGTTAAAGTTTTAGAATTGATTAAATTGGAGTGGGATTCCCACTTCTTTCTCTATTTATTTTTATTTATTTACTTATTTATTTATTTTTGGCGAGGCAACCCTTGGTTGACCTCACAGATTGCAAGAACCTTGTCAGCTTACAATCCCTTATTTTTTATTTTTTATGCCTACAGTACCTGGTCTCCCCAGGTGGTCTCCCATCCAAGTACTAACCAGGCCCGACCCTGCTTAGTTTCTGAGATCAGACGGAATCGGGCTTGTTCAGGGTGGCATGGCCATAGACCCCACTTCTGAATGTATATCTAAAGAAAATTAAAACAGGATCGTGAAGAGATATCTGCACTCTCATGTTCATTTTGGAAAAAGTGAAAAGAAACTGAGCAGAAAAGGAACTACATAAGAGAAGAAACCACCAGAAATGAACATCATGTTTCCCTAAACGTCAATTACAGTATCTTCCTTTGACCCAAGAGAATATAAAATCCTAGCTGTCTCTTCCAGGCGGTTTCTGTATTCTACTTTCTCATAATTGGAGGGACTCACTCCTTTAAAACCATACATAACTCCCCACCAGCAGCCAGCAATGGCAGCTGTAGAATCACTGTCTCCACCATGGAAAAATGCTCGGTGGGCAAGCTCCTTCCAGGAATCTCCTGCGGCCAGGATGGCATCGTAGGCAATCATGGGGGCATCATGTCCACTGCTGCCACCCCAGCCAGAGTAGCTCACAGAGGTGTAGAACTGATCTCTCTCCTTCACATCATAGGGGTTGGGGAAGGTAGGGGCCGATTTGCCATCTAAAATTCCTCTAAGTTTTAGGTACTTTTCCCATTGGTCTTGGAAGTAGGACCTGTAAGAAGGGAAAAAATCTACAGTCAATTAAAAAATTAAGCCAAAAACCATAAGGTACCAGACAGATGTGTGAACAGGGAAAATTCCGAGACGACTTCAAAATTTATTGAATGGATGTTATTTAGATAGAGTTCATTTTGATTTTTTATATCGTATTAATACCATAAATGACATAAAAAATCAAAATGAGCTCTACCTAAATAACATCCATTCAATAAATTTTTGCTAAGAATTGATGTAAACAAGGCACTGATATCTGTTGCTAAATAAATAAGACATAGCAAGTTAAAAGTGAGAAGTAAAGGGTTGTTTTTCTTGAGTTGAGAATAAGGTCTGTCATTTTCTGTCAATTTTGTCATTATATATTTTATTTTATATTTTATTTTCTTAGTAAAAATCATATATGTGTAAGGTATACAACATGATGATTTGATATATGTATACACGGTAAAATGATTACTACAGTCAAACTAAGTAACACATCACCTCTTTATACAGTTACTTTTTTTTTTTTTTTCCAAAACGGAACCTTGGAATATGATGACCATGGGTGATTTCGGTTTAAAGCCTCTGGACCTTTTTATTCTAAAAAAGGCAGTGTAAAGTGAACTCTGAAAAAGAGGAAGATGTGGTTTTACCACTTACTAATTAGCTAGTAAAAATCTCTCTCTCTGGTATTCTAAGAAAAGTTTTCAAAATATCGTGTATCAAGACAACACTGTAAAACAAGTTCCAAGAGATAAACAGGAAAGTTCGCCTCAGTATAGAAAGATACAGAACAGCGTCCCTATACAAGAGGAAAGCACTGCAGCTACACTACTTATTGAGGTCTACACTTGGTTACTTGGTGGCAACCACTGCTGTAACTGAACCTGAAATCCTTAGCAGGTAGGTGGGGACAGGGCTGGTTGCAGTGGGTGACAAAACTGGATAATGAGAACCATGACGGTAGCTATGATCTATGAATTCTAGACATACATAGTCATGCATGCACACACAGATTCAATCATTTTCTAGCAGGAACATACACCTATAAACTTACCAGTGTTGAAGATTCTTCTCCACAAAGTAGCCTGACTGGACAATGTACTTTTTAGCTTCTGGTAACACCTCCATCAGTCCTTTTCCCCATTGCCAGGGAGGCTTGCCATTCACAGCATAGGATGTAAAAAGAGCAGACACAAGGGCTCCCAGGTAGCCTGTGGGGTGGTGGTGAGTCATTCGGCCACTCTCAATGCTAACCTGGATCAGTGTGTCCAGCTGGCTGAGGTGAGGGAACCTGAGACCAATGCACATGGCCCGCATGGCAGCCCCACAGCCGCCCTCATGGCTGTTAAAGGGAATCCTCCAGCCATCGGCTTTGTCTGGCTCCAGCAGCATGGCGTTGTGCACTGATGTCCCACCTGAAGAAGAGTCGAGTAGGGGTTGGAGTCAATGTAACCAAAACAAAAGCCCCGGCAGGAGAAAAAGACCAAGCTCTGCTTCCAAGTTTCTTTGATGGGAAGGAAAAGCCAAAAAAAATACAATGATGAATGCCCTCAAACTCCAAACCCCAAGCCAACACAGTGCCTTACTTTACAGATAACTCTTAGCATGATAAGATTAATAATAAAAGAAGTAGATTCATATAGAGAGCCTTGGAATCTTTGCCAGTTATTATTGAGACATCACAATAACTCAAAAAGGTAGTCATAACATATTATTCTCTTTTTTAAATGAATAAGCTTAAGCTCAGGGCTAAAGAACCCTGCTTAACATCACATAAACAGCTAGTTAGTGGCCCCATCCAAACCACCATGCTCCAAGCCCAAGCCCTTAAAGAACCCAATGAGAACCTGACAATTGAAATTCCCAAATGTCAGAAAACAGCCACAGTTCTACAGTGGAGTGCTGGGCTCAGAGAAGAAGCAATGGGTTCAGAGCAAAAAACGTGCCCTTGGGTGTCCTTGGTTTTCTCCTATGTGAGAGCAGTGCAATCAGGCTTGTCTTATCTCATTGTCCTACTGGGAACAGTGTGCACACATGAACCAAGCAGTGGCAGTAACATAGTGTGGGGTATGGTGGTTTTATTGTTCCCATATGGTCAGTTTATTCACGACTACGCCATAGAAGGCATAGATGGACGAAGAAAACATTCCACTTGTCCAACTGATGAGAAATCAGATGCTGAGAAAGGATGAACAAAAGCTAGCTTCTAAAGCCAATCCTTGGGGTCACCAGAGACCCTGGGTGTGTGTGTGGGGGGGACTTTTCATCAGGAAGTGCTTTTTATCAGCTCATAAGCTGAACTGTGTCCCCAAAAATTCGTATGTTGAAGCCCTAACCCCTAGTACCTCATAATGTGACTGTATTTAGAGATAGGGCCTTTAAAGAGGTGATGAAGTGAAAATGAGAACGTTAGGGTGGACCCTAATCCAATCTGACTGATGTCCTCATAAGAAGAGGAAATTTGGACAAAGGGACATCAGGAATGTGTACTGTGAGAGGGGACAGATATGAGGAAGTTGTCAGCAAGTCAAAGAGAAAGACCTCAGAGGAAACCAAACCTGCTCTTGCCTTAATTGCAAACTTCTAGCCTCTGAAACAGTGAGAAAATAAATGTCTGTTCTTTAAGTCCCTAGTCTGTGGCATTTCATTATAGCAGCTCAAGCTGACTAATACAAGAGGATAGGTAGGTCAGGTGGGCCAGGGAAAAGGTGATGCAAGTCACCTGGCGGCTCGAGAAGGTGTAACAATTTCCCAAAGTGGGCAAGAATCACTGTTCACAGACCTAGAAATAGAAAAGGAATCTCTACAAGATCCTTTCCATTATTCTTCAAAAAGAAAAAAATGTTTTCTTTATACCCGTTAATTACAGAAAACTTAGAAAATACAAATAAAAAGAAAATAAGAAACTATAAATACTCCCATTATCCAGACATAATTATGAACATTTCTGTATATATTCTTCCAGACTTCTCCCAACAGATATACACTACACCTTTAATGACAATGAGTTTATAAGATACGTTCTGTCTTGTAACCTACTTATCTTTCATTTTCACTAAAATATAATATCTTTCCATATCAGTAAATATTTACCTCTATAATTTTAAATGCCTATGAATGTATCATCATAGTTAAATTACTTATAGGACATTTAGGTTGTTTTTATTTTTATCACAACTATAAAAACTACTGACTTCCTTTGGCCTGTTCTATTCTCCACCCGCCCAGGACCTCCCCTGGCTCTGCTCACCTGGCGCCCGGCCATTCATGTCTCCCATGCAGTCTTGGTAATGCCTTGCAAAGAGGGAATACAGTCGAGCCAAGTCCAAGACTTTCCCAGCTTCCACAAGAGCTTCTGCCGTGGCCAGGTGCATCACTGTGTCATCGCTGACTCTCCACTTCTCCACATCTACGGCATCCAAGCCACCAAGCTGGGCCAGCTGCTGGTGAATCTTCTCCCCATTCTGCAGGAACTCCCACTTCCCGTTGAAGTACCCCAAGGCATCTCCAGCTGCACTCAGCACCATGGCAGCCATATACCTCTCCATCAATCCCCCACACATGATGAGGCTGTTTTTCTGGGGGAAAATTAAGATACACAGAGGATGAGAAGAAAGAAGAATCAGAAAAAATACTAGCCCTATCTACATTTTATTGAGCACTCACTACTTGTAGGCATTGCATTAGTGCATCTCACTTAATCTTCATAACTGTTCTATGAGGAATGTGGTATTAAGCCCATTTTACAGATGAGTAGAACAAGGATTACAGAGATAACGCTAAGTGACTTGTCTTAGGTCATAGAGCTAAGTGGCATGGCTGGCATTCTCTCTGTGCAAATCCACCTACTTTGGGCAACCTCTTTGTTCCTCAGCCTTTACATCTCTAAAGTGCTGATAAAAACAGTAATAGTCTTGTGGGTTTGTTGTGAGGAATAAATGAATTAATTTTTGTATAGGACTTAGAACAGTGCCTAGTACATCACAAGCACTATTATTGTTGTTATTATTATTACTCATACACAACCAGGGAAAAAGATTTTTGGATCATTGAACTAGAATATTTTATTCTCACAAATTTTCTTTAATGGTAATATTTAAATTTTGGGTTTTTTCCTAAATGACTAATATCTAGATTCCTGGGATCTCAGCTATTATACCCTCCATAAATTTAATCCCCGGTAATGTGTTGGTTTTCCTGTAGGTGCATTTCCAATTCCCCATTGTACCATATTGCCTGTGGCATTAAAGTTCAAAGCCCTCCCATCTACTCCTACTGGGCGCATCCACTGCACTTGCACAGGCCAGCTAAACACCTTTAAACGCTGGTGAACTAGCTCATTCTCCCCTCAGCTAAAACTCTTTCCACACCCAAGATGCACATCCTCCCTGCCACTAAACCCTGTTGACTCGGGCTTTAGTTCAAGTCCTAGGGCTTCCAGGAGTCCTTCCCCAGCTGCACTGTTGATGTCAAGGAATTTGGGTTGGCAAGACATGGAGAAGAGTAAATGAAGCCGGACTGAGTATACCAATACCGATTATACCTAATTTCTGAGTTCACAAAGGACAGTTGTAAAACGTTATTTATATGTTTTATTGTTTATAAATAATGCCTAGGAACTAGAGGTCTGGGCTACTAGACCTGACTCTGTCAAGAATCAGTTGTGTGATCAGAGACAAGCCACCCACCCACCCTGGACCTCGATTTTCTCAGCTTTTAATGCGACAGTGTGGGCGGGAGCGGGGCGGTAAGGTGAGGAGGCTGTAGATGCTCCCTGGACTCCTGTTCTGTGCTGAGGGCTTCAGAGAACCAACTTTTAGTCCCCCTGTACCTGCCTTCCCAATGTCCTTGGCTCCTTTTCTGTAATTCTTTCTGGCTCCACCGACTTCGTGCTTTCTGAGTTGCAAGAGGTGGTG